AACGGGACGGCTAACGGGACGGCTAACGGGACGGCTAACGGGACGGCAAACGGGGCGGCTAACGGGACGGCTAACCGGACGGCTAACCGAACGGCTAACCGGACGGCTAACCGAACGGCTAACCGGACGGCTAACCGGACGGCTAACGGGACGTTGACCCTCTGCCTTTTTGGTCCAGCACCACCTCCCAGGCCATCGGCATCGGGATGAGGATGAACGCAGACTTCATCATGCTGAACCACTTCAGCCAGCGCTACGCTAAGATCCCGCTATTCTCCGAGGACTTCAACGACCGGGTGGGGGTCTCCTTCGACCACATGAGGGTAAGTCCAAGGCTCCGGCCCCACATCCAAGTCGGCCATTTTGATTAGGTCACCAATAGAAAGATCCCAGGCAAGGAAATCCTAATTGCCTCATGGCAATATAGACATTGATTTAAAAATAGTGAAATGGATCTTGCAAACACTGAATTAAACACTGAATTAAAAATAGTGGATGTTAAATAGGTTTGTACAATAAGTCCAAATAAATTTAACCCAAAATATAGTTATTTCTCACAATTTATGAAGGGTGGAGGGTTAGGGTTAGGGTTAGGTTTAGGGATAGATTTAGGATTAGGATTAGGGTTAGGGTCAGGGTTAGAGTTAGGGTTAGGGTTAGGTTTAGGGTTAGGATTAGGGTTAGGGTCAGGGTTAGGGTTAGATTTAGGATTAGGGTCAGGGTTATGGTCAGGGTTAGATTTAGGGTCAGGGTTAGGCTTAGGACATCGTTTGTCTTCTGATTTCGTATAGACCATAAAGTTTCCTTTCCACCTCAGAAATTTCCTAGTCACATGACCTAATCAAAATGGCCGACTTGGCTGTGGGAGGAGGTGGATATCCAACTAATAACACTAAAGCTGCGTAACCATGCCAACAAAAACCCATCTATCTAGAGCTTTCAGCTCAGATTTGTGTATTTGTTGTTTAGTGGACACACAAGTCTGCTTTGTGTGTCTGAAACTCCCTGGATAACTTCAGATTAGACACAGTGAGCTAAAAACCCGAGAAAACAAGGAGAAAAGAAGGAAAAAACAAGGAGTATGGCGGAGGAAAAACCCCATGATGAGATTTAGGCTGATAAAATGACTTCCCCCCTCTCTTAGATCTGCTTCAGAGACTTTAAAATCCTCCCCAAGCTCACCCCGGCTCTGAAGACCCTCTTCGCGGAGGACATCGGTGAGATGGAGGAGCGGAGGGAGAGGAGGGAGCTCCGAAACCCCCGGGGCAGCTGGGAAACGACGGGCGTCGTCACGGAAACCGAACGAGGGTCCAAAAGAGAGCCGCCGGGGGGGGGGGCAAACAGCCCGAACACAAAGAGACCCAAGACCAGCTGAGGGGGACAAGGTTTGAGTTCAGAGAAAAAAAAAGGACTTCCCCAAAGCATCCTGAGTTGTTTTATTTAAGTCAAGTTTAAGAGGAGTTTTATTTTGCTCGCGCGGCTTCGAGAAGTTGAAACTATGGAGAGCTTGTTTTTCATTAAGCCGAATAAAGGAGTGTCACACGCCGTGTTGGAAATGTTGAATTTGGCCCGAAATTTGAACAAAAAGCATCACAACATCCAGTTCCATATGAAAGAAGTCAACTATGATGACTTGGCTTCAGATTCCATCAGATTTGTTCATAATTCATGTTTTTTTAATACATTTTTATAATGGAAAAATAGTGTTTTGATTCTTTTGGTATTTTACCAGAAAATGTTCTGGTTCAAATATACAAATACTTCTCACACTTTCACATTTTTTCAATTCAATCCTCAAAAATCAGGAATCTGTCCTCCCTGTTTGGCCTTATGGTTCCCAATCTGCTTTTATGTATCAATAGCACCAATTTAATACACATCAGTCTGCTTTATCCAGTAATTAATCCCATTTAAAAAAAAAGCAGGAATAAAACAATGAGACATTATGTCCTTTTTTCTCTGTGAAACGAGGTTATCTAGAAGCCATATGATTTATTGTCTTTGATTAGAATTGATCAAATGTTAACCCCAAGGGAGACATTTCTAGTAAAATTTGCCCTTTAGTTCAGTAAAGTTAGGCGTGGTGTCACCTCTAAATGCTTCCCCGTTTCCTGTTTGGGAGCGGAGCTTCTGTCCTGTTTCTGGAGCTCATCTGCTGCCATTTTCTGCTGTAAAACATATGTGGATCACTGATTTAAATCAACCAGGTATTATCCGACATGAAACGAGAATCATTCTGACTTTAAAAGTTTTGAGAAGTGTTCAGCGTGATGCTGCGGACGTCCACACGGGGGCGCCAGAGAGCCGCGGCCACTTCCTCCCACCTGCCTCATCCTCTCCTTTTGTTCCTGAAAACACCTTAAACCAGTTTACAGATGCCTCATTTATTCCAAATGTCTTTGTTTAAATGGGGAGACCCCATTTGACGGGGGTTTTACAGGGCAACAAGGTGTTTTTCAGTTCTTTCTGGCTTTTACAGCTAAAGGATAACACAACGGAAAATTGGAAAATCACCAAATGGGATGCTGCACAAACTGACAAGTAAGTTTAGCTCAAGTTTGCTTGCAAAAAGTTTTTTAAAAAGTTCATTTTTCAATATGAAGGCTCTGAATGTGGAGATTTTTAATCATTGGTATCATCGATTTCGGGGCCTTTAAAAAATCTGTGTAATCATGGTGGATATATCCCTTTAGCCTTGACTTGACATGGACCTGCTCAGCTTTAGATTTCCCTGCAGAGCAGCAGGTAATCCGGCTTCTTTGGTGTCTCACGGACATAATCAAAACAGATTTCCCGCTTCATTATGTGCAGGCGGCGGAACACTTCCCCCTCTCCGAACTAAGAGCTGATTGTGACGTCTGGGAGTGGAGATGGAGTCCAGTTTTTCGGCGATGAGCTCCTCAGAAACGGGAGTTTTTTCCTTTTTTTCTTTGGGGAGAGATGACCAGCTTCCAGGTGAGGGGCTCAGGAACCAGTCTGACGTTTCTCTGCTGCTGTGCAGAGAAGAAAAGGATGGAGGCTTCTGAGAGCAAAACGCTGTGGGGAGATGAGCACATCTTCTACAATATCAACATGTGTCAAAGCTAGATTCAGGAAATCCAGACATAACAGGACCAGGCCGGATACACGTCTGATTTATATAAGAGGAAATACAAAGAAATCAAAAGATTCACAGCTGGATCGGATTGCTTTGACTCATACACGTGTTCAATCTACACACTAGATAGACATTATCTATCTATCTATCTAGAAATATATCTATCTATCTATCTATCTAGAAATATATCTGTCTAGATATATACATATATATCTAATTCAAAGAGAACTCCGATGTAATTGTTGTTTTTTCTTAAGGCTGTTGGTACAGATGTACTTGAAAGTAACTTGTCAGTGTTCGGAAAACAGAAAAAATTTCATAAAAATGGCCGTTTGATGGTGATGCTCTCTATCATTAAGGAGTGATTCATCATATTGTGTTTGCAAAATGTGCTAAATATGTCTTAACTGACATTGAGAGAAACGGGCAGTTTATAGAACGACAAAGTAAAACTGAGAAGCAAGTAGAATTGTTTGTTTGTGATGTAGACAAACCAGCTTTCAGCTCCAGGGACAGTCAGTTAAACAGGTCATCAAGGCCAACATTTCCAGCCGATAACTTTTGAACCACAAAAGATATTTAAAATCTGATTCCAACAACTTATTCCTTGGACAATTCTGCTGTTATTTGATATGCTACATGACCACCTTCCTACTGGAAAAAAATTCTCATTGATCCAAGATGGCGGCTTTCAAGATGGCGGCCATGTTCTGGACGAAGCCTAACAGACTGACTTTTGACTATTTCCAAGCCTCAACAATGTGATATAAGACAAATCAAATCTCCATATAAAAATCTTACAAGACAATTTTTAGCTTTGGGTATCTTTATCTTATTCCTATGATGATAAAAGAACATTGATACAAAAAAAACTCACTGTTGCACGGAGTTTATATCTTATTTATTCAGGATGATCTTACAAACCGGAGCTTAATGGCACTTGAGATGGGACCGAAGCAGAAAATGTCCAATTAATGTGTTCCAAGAGTGGCCTTTTCCTCCAATGATGGCATCCAGTGATTGTTAATGTTAAATAACTCCAAGTACATCACAAAATCACACGCTTACCTGCTCGTTAGGAGAAGAAAAAGCTGTCGTTTTGCTCTTAAATAGCTCCTCACCTTCTACTTTGTCTGCTTTGTTGAGTGAGATTAAATAGCCGAATAGACTATAAAAAGTTCAGATGTGTCAAGTACATCCTGAAGAGAGGTAGTACTGGAATATACTAATTACTAATATACTGGAAGAGGCCGAGTCAAGAAACACCGAACAGGACAGAGAAAGCTCCATATCTGGCAGAAAATGAGCAAAAACCTCCATCATAGCTCTAAATTTAAGGGAAAAATGCAGAAAGCAGTGACCTGACCTGGTTCCTCTCATCAGCTAAAATCCCAGTCTGACATTAAAGTGGACGTAAAGTTTTTAAAACGGTCAAAAAGTTTTTTTTAAAAAGCGTGTAAATAGTGGACGCTCCTGCTCAATGTGAACCTCTACCACCTGTTCTTATATCTCATTCGATTTAAACAACAATGCACCTGTTTTTGTGTTGGTTTTAGCACACTACTGGATTTTTACGTCACCTTTAGTTTGAACCGTGGGAAATGGAAGCTGGTGCAATGCATGGATCACCTTAAAAAAACATGAATTTTTCACCCAAATTGCGACTGGATGGTGTGAGATCCCCAATCTGTGGTTTCTAGACTGTAAATGTTTTGGGACATTTTGGAGATCTTAAAAGAAAGAAAAACCTTAAAAATCTATGAATGAAGTGATGAAATAGAAACATGATAATGCATTACTTTCATGTATTAAAAAGCTTCGTTTGGACAAATTAAAAGCCAAAAGATGAACTGAAACGAGGCTGAATTCAGCATGAAGACCTCCTGTATTGAATTGAAATGAATGGGTACGCCTCAGAGGGTTTGCATTAGGGAAAAGTAGATAAAAACACATTTTTTTAGGCCTAAATGTGTTTATTAGAGCACAGAAAGTTTAAGTAAATTAAGGGTTTGTGTTCGCATCCTTGTTTTCTGTTCAACCTAAAAAATGTTTCCGGGGCCCTGAACCGAAACACAAACAGTTTCAAAACTCAAACTCAACAGCAAGAAATTGAAGAGGGATTTTTTAAATATTTTTTTTTATTTTGCATGAATATCTGGAGCTGTGGGGAGACGCCGAGTCTCTACTGGGGGGGCTCTACTGGTTTGGGCCGGGGTGGATCGGGGGCAGCTTCAGCACCTCCCTGTCCTGCACGGGGGGGAGGCCGGCGTGGCCCCGCTGGGCCCCCGGGTGCAGGGGGGGCAGCCCGGGCTGCCTGAGGGGGCTGGGGCCCCCCTGGGTGGGGCTGGGGTGGATGGGGGGGAGTTTGAAAATCTCCTTGTCCTGCACGGAGGGCCTTGGCCGGGGCCCTCTGGGGGTCG